GCCTCCAGGACAGGCGTACTTTCGAGGGCAAGGGGTGTTTTGGAGGTTGGCATTATCAGGTTCAATGCTCAGTTCTGAAATCACTGTGGCTTTAGTTAGAACATTTGATTCCTCTGCTGTTAGTAGGGTTTATTCAAACTTACTGGTGATAATAGTTGGCGTATTATTGGTAGTGGCTACAGACGAAACCGACTCTGCAGGGTTGACTCCTTGGTTCCAGTCCTGTCCCGGTTCATACTGGTTCCGACTCTGAGGCGAGACGGGTGATGGTATAATCCAGTCGCCTGATGCTACAGTATCTCCACGAGGCCAAGGGTGGGCTCTGGGACATCCAACCGTGGTGCAGGCTGGTCCCTTCTCGCAATGGCGAGCCTGAGGGTGCCAAAGGGTACAGTTGGTGTCTGGGCAGTCTTTCTTCAAAGCACAAGCTTTAGCCGGTGGGTGTTGATGGGTCTGAAAGCATACGGGTACTCGACATCCAGATCCGTTGGGACAAATAGGCAGCTGCCATCTTTGATTCCGTGCCCGATCCGGGGAGTTGGTGTTCGGAGGTGTTTGGGTTTGCGAGGGCGACAGGGTTGGAATCCGAGTTCTGTTGTTTGGAGTACGGTTAGGAGTTGTGGGCGTGGAGGGTGTAGCGGGAGGATTATGAACGGAGACATAGGTGACGGCTATCGGGATACGTGTTGCTGGTGTTCTCGGCTGTGGTATGTTTGTCTGCGGTGGTGTGGATGGCTGAGCAGAAGGGGGCTTTTCCGCTGGTTGTTTCTGCTGGGCATTGCGAGCTGCCAGTCTTTGGAGCATATCGACCGTCTCCCGTAAAGCACTAGTCCCTCTATGTAGTGCTGAGACCTCCTTTGCGAACTTGTCACCGTCAGACCTCCATCGTATCTTGTCAGCCAATCCCATGGTGTTGCGCCGATCATATTTGTTTCTGATAGTCTGCATTTTCTGGAGAGCCTCGAGACATGGGGCAAGGTTGGCGCTCAGGGTAAAGTCCTCGGTCCCAGTCTCGGATTCGGGTTGTGATGCTATAAAGCGTTTAAAGTCGTCCAGGACTGAGACGACATTACCGACAGCAACTGCTCCATCTGAGAACTCGGTTGGGGGATCCCGACACACATCCAACACGTTACGAGCGAGGGAGATTGCATATCGAATGTCATTGTTGTTGGCCATGTTGGAATGTACAGATTGTTGGAACTCGCTTCAAAGCCAGGGGGATTTAACAATTATTTTGTTTGGAATGGAAAAATAGAAGTTGAGTTGATAGTATGCGGTGGCGAGTTTGACGTTGCTGGAGGCAAAGCGGGGGTAAGGCGCCGAGCAAATGCCTAACCAATCGACCCATCGTCTGTCCAATGAGAGAGGGATACAGCGGGATTGGTGTGTAACACAGCGCCTAATTGATTTTGATTATGCCCGTTTGGTTAAGCTGCATATGGCCGAGAACGAGGTACATATCTTCCCGATTATGGTCTGTTTCTTCCATTTCTCGAACGTCCCAAGTTATATCTCACGGTCAAATATAGTAAGTTTGAACCAGGTTACCAGGAAGGAAATTTGATTAATCAATTCCGAGACCTGAAGCAGCTGATTAAGCCATACAGTTGGCTATATGTATATGTCCATGTACCTATGTAGGTACTCGGTAACTGCGAACGGGGGGCCTGAATAGTTTTGTTGCCCTGGTGCTTGGCGCCATTGATCGAACACCTTAGGTTTTTAGACAACATGCAATTTAAGTCTCTATTGCATTGACCTTTGTCCTTGCAGCGCATTTGTCTTCAGATATCAAAAAGTTCGACACTGACAGGCTGGTATCTGTCCCTGAAGTTAACTAATGTGCTATTTAAGGATTAACACGTTGAGGTCCTTCCATGGTTGTACACCTATGTATATGTACAGTACTTCTGTTGGCTGATGGTCACAGTGACCCGGCCACCAACAAGGAGGCAGGTATCCAACCCCAAAGAACCGGCGCATTTTCGACATCCTCTTTCTTATCGAACAAACATCTTGTGGCTTCTATTCCGTATGGTTGCTGAATTGAAGTCAGTGTTCGGAGACTTTGGTCACTGGGCGGGTTAGGGTTATAGGTGAGTAAGACTCAGTGTGGTGACAGTCGGATTTGAATGATCATTAATGAGAATTTGCGGTCAATCCCGAATTTGATCCTCCGGAAGTGATTTCGGTGACGCCTCACGGCCGGTCCCGTACCGTCTCGGGACACCCGGAAGGCTTGTTTGTAAAAGGTGAGGTTGGAAAGAGCAGAGTTGCGTGATCCAAGGAATAGTTCCGCTATTTCTTCCGATTTCTCCAGACAGTGTGAACCATGATAGAAACTGTATTTTGCCTCTAAACCACCCGGATCACAGTGTGAAGGCACGTGCCGATTGGCGTGGCGTGGGGTGTCACCAATAAAACGGCTTGGCGGTCCAATCACGTTCGCCAATTGTTGGCACCGTCGAATTGCGCAATTGGCAGCTGTCGTGATGCGAAAAAGTCCGCACTATGATTTCTACACCAAAGTATGGGCAGAATCTGTTAGTGGCTGCCTATTGTTCTCCCGAGCACGTTCTTGACCACATCCCGCACAACTGATGGGAAGGAGCACAGACAACCAAATTCACACCAAATGCAGATGCACCTTTACCGGAAATGCGGATGACCAAAGCTTCGACAGCAACACTAATGGCTCGGCCATGCATAAGGGCAGCAATGTTCAAACATCTCCCTTTGATCTGCAGCAGCTTAAACCATCCTGCATCCCCAAACTTTTTATCTCAATTCTTGTTTTTCTCATCAGGGTCCTGATTTGTAGGTTTCCTTCCTTTTGTGAACGTGGGGTTGCATCTACTCGGGGCATCGATGACCCTGTGACCGAAACCACCAATTCCTCCACAGAACCTCCACTTTCACGATAATCTTGACTCTTCTGTACTACATTGACGACAACAAGAAATCCTCCTCTTCGACTCCAAAATACCATTACAACTATGGGATTCCTCCCATCCTTCAAGGGCGCCAACAAGTCCCCGGACTCGGCGTCCATCAACAAGACGACATCTCCTAACCAGAATGGCCTCGAAGGCGCAACAGGCTCCGACTCAGATGACTTCCAATCCATTGACCCCCATAGCGGTGTCAAGAGGGGTCTCAAAACTCGCCACTTGTCCATGATGGCCCTGGCGGGTATCATTGGCCCAGGTCTTCTCGTCGGTTCTGGCGGTGCGCTTCATAATGGAGGTCCAGCTGCCCTCATCATCGGTTTTGGTGTTATCGGTATCTTGGCATTCAGTATCATGCAAAGCTTGGGAGAGCTCACCACGCTTTATCCAACCGGAGGTGCTTTCACCGGTTTGGCCGACAGATTCGTTGACAAGGCATTCGGTACCGCCGTCGGGTGGAATTACTTCATCATCTGGTTTTGTGTCTTGTCCAACGAATACAACGTCATATCCAGCATCATGACATTTTGGGAACCTGATGTCCCACTATGGGGTTGGTTCTTGATCTTTTGGACTGTTTTCACCCTCTTCCAGCTGCTTGGTGTCGAGACATTTGGAGAGGCCGAGTTTTGGCTCGCACTTATCAAGCTGGTTGGATTGATTGCATTCTTCTTCTTCAGCATTGTTTACGCTTCTGGCGGTGTAAAGGGTGCTCCAGCCATTGGGTTTTCTTACTGGCGAGATCCCGGCGCATTTGCCAATGGCTTCAAGGGTGTTGCATCTGTCTTTGTCTTCTGCAGCACATTTTACGCAGGAGTCGAGTCGGTTGCTGTCGCCGCCACCGAGACCAAGAATCCCCGCGTCGCAGTTCCTCTCGCTATTCGTCAGGTCTTTATTCGCATCGTGGTCGTTTACATGGGCAGCGCATTCTTCTTTGGTCTTGTCTGCCCCTGGGATGATGATGGTCTCATCAATGGTACCGCCCGCGCCCTCAAGAGCCCAATGACCGTTGCCCTTCAGAGAGCCGGTTGGGAGGGTGGAGTCCATCTCATCAACGCCTTTATTTTCATCACAGTTCTCAGCGCCGTCAACTCTTCCATCTACATTGCCAGCCGCACCATTCTCTACATGGCTCAAGATGGTATGGCTCCCAGATTCCTCGGTTGGACTGACCGTCGCGGAGTTCCCATCCCGGCTATTCTCTTTACCAATGCCTGCGGCGCCCTCAGCATGATGAACGTTAGCACCGGTGCTGGCAAAGCTTACGGATACATTGTCAATTTGAGCGGTGTATCTACCTTCATTGTCTGGGGTGCCATCAGTTTCACCCACATCCGCTTCCGTTCTGCATGGAAGGCCCAAGGCTACACCGAGGCTGATCTCCCGTTCAAGTCAATGCTATATCCCTGGAACGCCTACTTCGGTCTCGGTGCCAATATTTTCTTGGCCCTTATTCAGGGATGGTCCGTGTTTTCTCCTTTCAATGGGGTTGACTTTGTTGTCGCATACCTTCTCTTGCCTCTATTCTTTGTCATTTTTGCTGGTTACAAGATTATCAACAAGACCAGGTGGTGGAGGTCTGACGAGATTGATCTGCAGTCTGGCAGACGCCGAGATTTGGATGAAGGCAGGAAGTTGGCTAACGGAGAGGAGGTCGATAGTACACTGCCCTGGTACAAGAGGGTCTGGAAGAGTTTGTGAGGCGTTATAATTTTGTTCAGTGTTTGAAGTTGCTTAATATTGTTGGAATTGGCTGCAAATATTTTGGATATACCCAGGCGAATATAGTTGAGGAATTATAATGCATCATTGGCTTTCTGCTTGATATCTTACTATCTCAGTTACTGGTGTGTTGATGGCGATTAGACCACCAACCAATGGAAAAGGAACCACGGAACGGCCTTTTCATCAAAACGTAGCTCAGGCCGAAGATCTCCTTGATGCTAAGGTGTCAACCCCAAAGCAACTTTACATACTTGACTGATTATCTCAAAACTTATATACAAAGCGCGCGTAGCCTGTCACCAATTTCCGCCGCTCAACATACGGTCCTCTGTGGCGCAATTGGCTAGCGCGTCTGACTGTTAATAAACAGGTATCAGGAGGTTGGAAGTTCGAGCCTTCCCGGAGGAGATCTTTTTTGCGGTGGTTTAGTTTTGCGACTCCACTCCAAATACAAAGTCGCGATACCTACCTCTTCTCTCCAAATTGTGTGAAGATCAATAAAGATAGATGTCAACATAATTTTTGTTTTCTATTTTACACTGAAAAAAAGTAGTCCAGGACTGCAGAACCTCCTGTTTCACATCCCTGCCGAGACTGGGGAATAACAATCATCCCAAATGTGAAAAGTGATAATTTACACCAAGCTTCGATCCGCCCGCCATTTCCCTCCTTGGCGCTAACTCCCTTTCAGATGGCTGAGACCCGTGTATCATCGCTAAGCGAACAATACCAGCGTCTCGGTATCTCCTGCGGTTAAACCTTCCTGTTCTCAAGACTCCTTTAATTTTTAGACAAGATGGCTCAGACGAAAATGAAATGTTTAAAAGACTTGATTTCCCAGTCAAATCGGGGAGTTTTGAAAGTCAGGCTTGATACTCACCACAAAATTCACAGTTTTCTTTTCTCAACTACATTTGCATTTCTATTCTTAAGCCCTGGAGGCCTTTGTCTTGTACAACATTTCAAATATTTTATCTTATTAGTTTTTCGCCACCTCATCAAAATGCACCCCTCTTCCTTCCTCGCCCTAACAGCCACTATCATCCCTCTCGTCTCAGCCCATGGCACCCTCACCCAAATCCGCGGCGCCAACGGTGTAAACATGAACGGTCTATCAATCAGCAGCAACGCACGCAACAGAAACTCTGCCGCAAACACGGCTATCATCCGCGACAGCGACATCCGTTCCGGTCGTGCAAGTCCACTGGGTCGCACATCCCGCGGTGGAACAGTAACCGCCGCTTCTGCTCTCCAGTCCTTCTCCAGAACGAACAGTCTCCCCACCGCATCAGACGATGGAATCATCACAGTAATCTACCATCAAATCAATGGAGACGGTGCAGGTCCCCTAGACGCAGCGGTAGATGGCATTTCAGGCGGCACACAAGCAAATGCGTTCAGAAATGCTCAGGTTATTCAAAACGTGCCCGGTACGCGCGGGAACGGAGGAAAATCAAATACGGATTTTACCGTGACAGTCAAGATGCCTGCGGGGATGACTTGTGATGCTACTGTTGGAGGGGTGGAAAATGTTTGTATTGTGAGGATTAGGAACGCGGCTGCTGCTGGGCCGTTTGGTGGTGCTGCCGCGTTTACACAGAGCGCGAGGAGTAGAAAACGGGCTTTGGAGTTTAGGACTGCTGGAAGGAATGGGGTTCCTTTTATTGCTTGAAGGGGGTTGGTAGATTCATGGAGGTTGGACAATGCAAGTTTGTTTTCTCAATTGCATCGTGATTATGCGGGTGTGGGATGAACCAAGTGGTGAGGTGAATGAGTGTCATGAGGACCATGAAAGAGTATTTTTGGGGACAAAGATAAAGACAGCTTTTGCGCAAGCTCGATGACAGATCTGTCACATGTGTCATGCGAGGCGTCAAGGCAAGCTGCACCTGAGAATGCGATGGCTAACAGGAATGGGTCGATGGTTGCGTTAAAGTTGCAGCCTGCTAGATTGATGAAAGTGTCTTCATGTCGTCGTCAGCAAATTTCATACCAAGAGGCGAAGGAAGCCCTCACGTAATTTTTGAACGTCGGCCCATTGTATACGAGGTCTATTGCCTAACTGTGTTGGGAAATTTATTTTGTTGGTTTGTGAATAGTTACATTGCAGGAATCTAGGTACACAAGGAGTGGCTTTGAGCTAGGTGTATTACATAAACAAGGACACCTACCTATACTGACAAGCTTATCTCGCACAAACTTAACTGTGTCTTTCGTGACCAAGCAAAGCTTTTTGTCTTGATTTCCCCGAAAGCTTGGTCTCCACATCTTCGTTTCTGAGAATGAAGAAGTCATCACAACTTTCTTGGCAAAGTCAGAAGCTGTGTTTCTCGGTCAAATGCTAGCCACTGTTAAATAAATAAAAAAATAAAAAATAATAACTTCCCATTTTTCGGCTTTTTATTAATGATACACATTACGAAGCCTCAAGGTCCAGTAAATTGCAGTCTTTGCTGTGCCCTCCCAGCAGTCTGACAAAAAAGTCTATCATGCCATTGAATCTGGGTCCAGAACGTAACAAACCTTCACAAGCCCCATGGTGATGTTGTTCGTGACTGCTATTTATCAGCGCAGCCTGGAGTCTTGACCTACACGCGAGATTCGCTCAGACCTCATATCGGACAGCGGTCAGCAAACCCAAGGTAACGATCTCTACTCTCTGGTGTAGATGGCTTTGCTTTTCCGTGACAAAGCAATACGAGAAGCCAAAGATTCCACGAGTATAAGAAGTCTTGTTTTCGCTCCTCTGTTCCGTTTGTCTGAACCTCTTCACCACACTCAGGCTCAACAACACACTCTCTACTCAACACTTCCTTCAACATCAAAAACGCCAATTTTTCAAAATGCGTGCCACCACCACCGCTCTTGGCATCGTCGCCCTCCTCCTCCCTGTCGTCTCCGCCTTCCAGGTGACCGGCAACGAGATTGAAGGCGCCCTCTACAAGGTCTACACCGACGCCTCCGGCAACGAAGTTCATGAACTCGTCACCAACGAGATTTTCAAGGCCGACACCGACTCGGTTATTGCCGCGGGCATTGCCCAGTCCTCGGCCGTTTCGGCCCGCGACGTCCGAGGAATCCTCAATGCCCGCGCCGATAGGCGTCTCTACTGCGGATGCGGCATCCTTCTGGACCGCAGCGACTGCGATGCCTCCGTTAACGACTTGAGGGGTCAGCTCCGCAGCAAGGGGACCGCCTACGTCCCCATCGGCCAGGCATACTATGCTGTCAAGAACAGTGTTGTCTCCTTTGTGTGCTCCCGCAAAGGCAATTCGGCTGTGACTGGTGTTAGCGAAAACACATTCAATGGCCTGCTTGAACAAATCTCCCACTACTGCGGTCCATACATCGCCGGTACTTACAAGCACGGAACCCCTATCAATAGCGCCGCCGTCGATGTCGGATACATGAGGTCTGGTGGCGACTTTTGCGCGCGTGCCGAGTCTTCCCCCAACCAGAACTGCTGGTAAACAAGAACCGTCAATACTTTTACCAATTGCATCGACGACTACAACATACTGGGATTGCAGCTACACGGATCACAGACTTTGCAAAAGGTGGAAGATGGATGGATAGATTGGATAGATGGGTGTCATGTTGATAGATTGAAAATTTTGTTTGGCTTTCCTGTACTTTCACTTCACTTGGTCAAGAAACCTTTTTACCGGCTCCGGGGCGATTTGGGTAGTCCCGACCATTTATACTATATAAAGAAGAAAAAACAATACGACTTTCTTGACTCATTTATCTCGTCTTGGTTTAAACTCAAATCATGATCTATCTTACATGCATGCTAATATCTTTACCCACCGGGCACCTTATCAATCGGTCTGGGTCCCATCAAGAGTCCTACTTTAGAAAACACAGCTTATTACACCTCCACTGGCGGTCACTGCTACTGGCTCAGCACCAGACTTTGCCAATTTGCACTCAGCTGCCGTGGTCCCTACTTCCTGGCCAGGAGACTTGACTGGCGTGTTGATTGGTAGGGCAAGATCGGCGACAGCGGGAACGGCAGTGGCGTCTGTGAGTCCATGGGGCAATGCCAGTCAGCATCTTATATTTTCGACGTGGTGGCTTGGGGGAAAGGGGTAAAAGAGGCAGTACGTACCTTGTGGCAGCGGCAGGGCCGACGCTAAGAGGAAAGTTGTGGCAAAGGTAAGAAGGAGCATCTTTGGGGCTTGAGCAAGATACATGATGACTGGTTGATATGATTCTTTGCTTGATGATTGTTTGATGAAGTTTGAATGAGAAAGATGAAAGTGCAGATCTGGCTTCTAAAATGCTTCCAGAATACATGAACTTGTCGTCCTATTTATCTCGATCGACGATCCGCGATCGATCAACCCCTCCTTCCTTCTTCAGGCATTGCATCACTTGCTCTCGAGCTGAGGACTTTGGGGCTCCAACAGACACGGAACAATCACAGCCCGCGTGCATGTTTTGGGTGGATAATTCATTTTCGACGCAGCATCGAGAACAATTCCAAAGCCAAAAGTTCTAAAGTTGTCCAAGCTTGGCCAAGCTTGGCATGCAGTAGCCGAGCGGGTACTTGGCCTTCAACGCTCAAAGCACGGAGTAACCCTAGCAATATGTAACCGTTGTATGCAATAACCGAGACGGGGTAACTCTGAACCGATCTCTTAACGATCAGCCTTGACTCGATTCAGCGGTTTTTGAAGAAATCCCGAATGTGACCTTGTTAAAGTAATTGCATTTATCGGGTGGAGTTGTCGAATTGGGGAGGATTCGGGACAACGGCATGTTTTTGAATGGAGAAAGGTCACGCGGGGAATGCCTTTTTGTTTTGTTGTCAATTTTCAGACCGAGTCTGATTTTGGAGACCGACTTTGGTCTTTTCACCTTGCACCCAAGTGTCACCAAGAACAACACACGATCTTGGTTCTGTCATTGTTCAACGTGTGCATCCGATCTCGTCCAGGGATTGTGGGGAACGTGGTTTGTTCAGCAGAGCACAACTTCATTTTTCCACTCTTCCAGATCTTGGCCACTTCTTTCTCGCTCTTCCATACCTAGACCTTCCAGTAAACAGTCTTTTGATCAGCATTCTTTGTCTTCCCCAACATGGATTCATCTCCGTACGCAGACGACAATCTGGAGAAGCAAAAGATGCTTCCAGAAATCAAAGGCCATGAAACGTGGCATTTCTCAGATTCAGCATCTACGACCATTGATTTATCGGACCCCGAGGTTGAGAGCCCTAAAAAGCTGAACTTTGAGCGAATATACAGCATCTCACTTCATCTTGTGGTAATATTGTTGACGATGCTTTTGTGGCTTTCCCGAATGGAAAGCTCGGCATGGAATTCATCACCCTCAGAAGAGCGAACCTGGTGTAAGTACTTATATCCCACAGATATGTCATTAAAATACGCGAGCAGATATGA